GGTGCCACCCAATGTTTCTGTTTTAAGAAAATTTAAGAAAATTGTTGGGTCAACACTTGTTAGAAAAAATTTTTTTGGAGCCCACTTGCAACTTTCAGAAGGTCTTGGGGGATAGTTAAGGGCTATGTTGAAGTCTGGATTCATAGCTGCAATAGTGATGACTGCAGCACAAACAAACCCAATCCAGAAGGCTTGTGTACTGGCAAAAGCCATGCTGCAGCAAGGAGATGAACACAGCTTGCACAACCAAACCCAGCTCCTCTGAATAAAAGGCTGGCTGATCAGCTGGGGCTGACCTCCATGACAAAGGCAAGCTGCCTAACTCAGGTACGGATAGCACCTTTTCAACTGAACGCTTACCAAGCAACCACTGGAACCTACGTTTCTGAAACTTAGTAGTTTCTCTACAAATGTGAATAAAAATGCAGAAATAGTAGTCCTCTCTTTGTGTTTCAGGTATAAATTACTAACAACAATACTGTCTTGCAGTACCTAACAAAGCAGGTCGAGCTCTTGCGTCAGATGAACGATCAGCATGCAAAAGTGTATGAACAGCTGGATGTGACGGCAAGAGAACTTGAAGACACAAATCAAAAACTAGTTGCAGAGAGTAGAGCTTCACAACAAAAGATATTAAGGTAATAACTCATGCTAGATCCCCTTCCCCCTACCCCAGTTGATGATATGGGAAAGAGCGGTCTGAGTGTATTTGTGTAGTTGCTGGGTGGCTGTCTCTGTCTAGTGTTCCACAATACCGTTAAATTGAAAGGACAATTCTATATAAAGGTCTTCTGGGGCCAAAGAGCAGCCTTCAGAGAAGAAACTACAGTAAGAGGGATGGGAAATTTCCATGTCCTTGACTTAAACAATCAAATGTTTTAACAGTAATCCTTCACCTTTTAGCTTGACAGAGACTATTGAAAACCTGCAAACACACATAGATGACCTGCAACGACAAGTAGAGGAATTGAAAAAGTCTGGACGAGGCCGGATGAGCCATGAGAGATCTGACCAGCCAAGATCAATGCATAGTTTCTCATGTTTGAAGGAGCTGTATGACCTTCGCCAGTAAGCCTTTTTACCTTGCATAGCAAAGAAAATACTGGAATTATTTTAAGCAAAGCTTTAAAAGCTAGGACACAAGCACAGATATCAAACAAGCTAGCAGGAAAACATTTGATGTTTACAACTAGCAAAATATCTGCACAGCCCTGCACTCTGGTGTTGCCACTGCTTCTGGCCTACTTCTAGACTGCACTAGCTTTTGCGTGAGAGGAGCTGCAGGTTCTATTTTCTGTCTTCAGAGGTTGTCTCCCAGTCTGAAACCATATCAAATCGTAGCCTAGAAAGCTCACAGCGATTTGCACCCCACTTTTTTCAGTCAGATAAAAGCACACAGAGATAATCTGAAAAACAAACATCTTAAATGCAGAATGTTTTCTGTAACCTACCTTTCCCTTGGATGTCTGTTGAGATCTTTTCAAGGAAGGCAGGATTCCTGCAATAGCTTTCCTGAAGTTAAAATGATGCTTAAGCTGGTAAAATGGTGCCTGGAGCTCTGGGCTGCTTTTTTAATTTGGAGCCGTTTTACCCAGCTAAACTGCATGAGTATGCCCATCAGGACAATCACTTGGGGTAAAAGCTCAGATTAGATTCAGTCCTAGAAGGTAACTTCATAAGTGAAGCACCTCCATGGGCAGGCAGAACAGGCTTCTGTGTGTGGGCTTTAGCACTATGTGGATGTAGGACTGTAGCATAAATCAGTACATCCAAAAAGAAGTTAATTCTTGACAATTCAAAAGATAAGTGGATTCCTTCAAACTGCCAAAGGCTTATGGAAATACGAGGCTACGGAATTGCTTGTCAATTTTGAGGCTTGTTTCCACAATCAATGGTGACAAAAGTTACAAGAGTGGAGTGCTGCAGAAAAGGTGTCAGAAAGTATTGCATGATATATGGAGGCAATGTTTATTTAAACTTCAGTTGTAGATCTAGTTATTCAATAAGCTCATCTGTAACTTGAAACTGTTAATGAGCTGCCATTCTGCTTAAGCTAGGAGGCTTGATTTGATGGCATCTAAGTATTTACAAACTCTGTTCTAATTATTAAATGGACTGATAGTAAAATGACTGCTATGTATACTTAAGTACACAGTTTAAATCTGTCATTAGTTACCCAGGACAGGAAAACTTTAGGAGGTGTGGTCAGCTGTACTTCCTACATTTGACAATACTTATTTTTGTTTCTGCAGGTATTTTGTTTATGATCATGTGTTTGCAGAAAAGATTACTTCGATGGATAGTCAGCTAAGTCCTCTTGAAGAAGAAAATGAGAACCTTAAAAAGGCAGTTACAGTTCTGCAAGCCCAACTTAACCTAGAGAAAGAGAAGAGGGTAACAATGGAAGAGGAATATAATCTCATGGTAAAAGAAAACTGTGACCTTGAACAGAGGCTTGTTGATACAGACTTATATCGGGCTCGGGCAGAGGAGTTGGAAGTGGAAGTAGCTGAAATGCGACAAATACTTCAGTCTGAAAATACATTCCATAACGCAGAGAAATTGGTGCCAGAATCCTTTTTCATTTCATTCAAGGAATCTTTAGAGAAGGAGCTTGGTCAGAGCCCTGCAGACGATGGACTGCTGACCGTATCAGAGCTTGAGAAGGCGGCACTGAAACGGAGCAGCAGCGAAACTTTCCTAAGCAGCGCTGTGGGGGGAGACATTCTAAGGGGCCATGAAGAAACATGTATTAGGAGAGCTGAAGCTGTGAAGCAGCGAGGAATCTCTGTACTTAATGAAGTTGATGCTCAGTATAATGCTCTGAAAGTGAAGTATGAGGAACTTTTGAAGAAGTGTCAAATGGATGAAGATTCTTTGAAACACAAGGCTGTACAAACACTGAAGCAGTATTCCAAAGACCTAAATGTGGGGAATACCCAGTATGATCTTTCAGCTAGCAATCAAGAATGTACAAATGTGGAGCTAAGTGACTCTCCCACAAATGTTCTTCCTGAATATAAAGCGCTCTTCAAGGAAATTTTTAGCTGTATCAGAAAAACAAAAGAAGAAATAGATGAACACAGAGCGAAGTACAAGTCCCTCTCCTCTCAGCCGTAACATTGGACATGCTGGTGACCTGTTTTCTGCTAGTGACTAATCTGTTAGTCAAGAAGGGGAAAAACTTCATACAAACATCAGAAGACCCCCTCATACTGATGCGTTTCTTGAGCACTCAAAATGAATGTTTTGAATGGGGTTGTAGACCTGTAGTTAACAAGCTAGTTAGTTAACAGCTAGTCTCCCTGTACTTATGTAGCAATGGATTTAATGTTGTTTAGCACTGTCATGCAAACTAGTGGCTGTAAAGCAAACAAACATCATGGCTTAATACTACACTCCTACTTCATACTACACTTAATCTCTGACCAGACCAGTAACTGACACTAGTTTCCTTAGTCCACTTCAAAAATAAAGAGTTAAGAAATCTGTACTGTATTTCTCACGAGGAACCAGACTAAAGCTTTCCTTCGGTTCACATGTGACAATCCAGCCTTGTAACTATGTCTGGGTAGAAAATTAAGAAAAAACAAAGCCCCTGACCAGTATCGTGGGCAGCCTCTCCTTGATTCTTGATAAGGATGTCAGCAGTCTATAGCTGGACTTGCTTTGGCAGGGGGCCGGAGAGCTGGCACAGCCACCTGAGTGGTGCTTGGGTTAAGCTCACACCACATTTTCATGTGCACTAAGCTCTCCCATAGATCAGTATAAATGTCTTCCTACCAAGAAAGGCTTTGATGTAAAGTTTGTGTGGCTTTTTAGGTATGGTTTCTTCTGTAGGGCACTTTGTCTTAAGGCAAGATACTGTGAATTGATGATGTACGTTATTTGGGACCTACTGTTCTTTGGTGGAATGTCTGCAAAGTACATTTATGTGTATTTGGTAAGATAGAAAGTTGCAATTTAGCTATTTAACTGTAGTAGTAGCATTGACATAGTGGAATAGCTTTTAATCTTACATACCGTGAGCCCCAAGTGCTTGAAGGAGAGGGGCCAGGGAGAACCTGATCAGCTGCTGTGGCCCTCTTCTGTGGTGCCAGGTGGGTGGGAAGATGGACACCGTGCTGCCAGGACATATCCTACTGAAAACAGGGGACCACACTCGCATTCTTCCTCTCCTTCTCCACTCCCTAGTAATAAATTGTATGTACTCAAATTCTGAAAAACAAAGAACATGGAGAAGTATGTTCTTTAAAACTGCTTCAAAGTGTGAAGAAAACAAAGGCTAAGAAGGGGAAAGGTACAGAGAAAGGTGACTCCCTTTTCCTTATAAAGGGTCTCGTAGCTTAATTTGGTCGGCTGTTTTGGGAATTGACTTATTGCCTGCCTGCCTTGCTTGCTGCCATGCACCAAACAGTTGACACAGAACGCTGACAATTTCTCAGCTTTAGTCAGCTGCTGCTGTTGCAGTTCTGTCCGCCTGATGTACCCTGTTAAGCTTGTGGATAGCTGTCCTTCGGTTGCAGTATTAAGACTTCATCTTGTGGGAGTTTCTCTAAAACATGTATTGCATTCTGAAAATTATTTAAAAATGGGAATCTGAATCTTGTGAGTTATTTTTCTAAGCAAATAAATAATCCAGTCAAGCTGTATGTGTTAACTAGTAATTATGCCCATCTGTGCCAATCAGGAAACAGTAAACTGGGTGCAGATGGCACCCGTGTTATCTGTCTTGCCATCTTCCCTGCATAGCTCAGACAGAGTTCCCATTAAATTTGTATTTTAATAAGATTACATGACATGGAAAAGGATAGGCCTGTCTGGGAAAGGAACCCAGGAACTTTCTCCTCACTGTTGTGGTGTTTGTCTGTGCTGTTCAAAAAGGATGGGGTTAAAAGAAAAAAAAAGGCAGAAAAGCTGCTGTTCTGCCATCAGGTGAACTGTATTGTCACTGTTCCCCAACACGGGGATCTTGTTGCCTGGAGGTCTACCCCAGTTCAGATATAGGAAAGCAGTAACTCAGATGAGGAAGGCATGACACTGTTGGTCACAAGCAATTCCCTACAACTATTCCTCACTGCTTAGGGGAAGGGGGAGTCCCCACCTGCTGGACCAGAAGACATGTAAAAGCAATTCCAGACTTTGGGGTTAAATGGATGATCTTCAGTGGTTTATTATTGTTGGCTCATTGGCTCATTTAGAGCACTTGCATTTATGCAATTTTTATGCTTTAAAAATATAAAAAATATTCTTAGATTTCCACAGAACTACTTCATTCTTCTGTAATGTAACTTCCCCTTGGCTACCTGTGCCAGTGCTAAGCTCTGGCTGTGCTGTACTGTACTCTTTAACACTTAACTGTACCTGTTGTGCAATAAAAACCTCCAAGGCCGGGTTCTTCTTTTGTTACTCCTTGCAGGCTGCAGCCTTCCCAGGGAGAAGCCTTACAGGAGCAGCCCTAGGTAACGCTGCGGGAACAGGCTGTGCTGGCAGAGAGTCAGCCACTGCTGCACGCAACAGGCGGAGGCTGCGAGAGCTGCCTGAACCTAAAGCATCCCCTGTTTATGTTGATGTAGTTAATAAACAACACTGGAGGATTAATTAAGGTAGAGTTTTAGCAGTTTAAAAATAGGTATTTTCCACAGAAATGTGAAATGCCGTAAGTATGGTAACAATATTCTTATCCAATCTTACCTGGCTTAACTACCATAATCTGCTTATTTTAGTCAACAACTCAACTCGGCCTTTTCCAAGCGTAAGTAGATGAAATTAATAGAATCTCCTTGAGCTTCTCATGTGATGGAAGTTACAGCAAAGAGCACAAGCAGTAAAGTAACCACATTCTACAGCGCTTACAGTGGGATAGTCCTTACTGCCGTCAGGCTTCACCGATAAACCTGTAACAGAAAGATCAGTTACTGTACCTTAGGCAACAGGCCCTCAGCCTGACAGCCAGCTCCTGGTACCCCCTCAAGAACACAACGCAAGCAGAATGACACAGAGCAGGTGAAGAAGCAGTTCACGATCTATCTCTAGTAATTCCTGACCTTTCCTTCCTCTGTAAGCCTTCAGGCTATAAAAGGAGCGAGTGCAGCTTCCATTTCTTCTTGGACAAATATGAGGCGGGGTAGAAGTGACCTTAGAGATAAAATTTTATTTAAAAAATTACATAAAATAGAGGTTTTACATTGTTGCTGTGTGGTAACTACAGCTGGACACCTTGCAGAGGGTGCACTTGGGTACTTACCTTGCTGCATTTGCATACAGTAATGCAAAACACCCCTCATACAAACCCTACACCAATCAAAGAAATCCAGTGGTTGTTCCACAATGTTTCAAATGTAGGTACTTTACCAAATCACTCATTTCACAGACAACAGGCAAGAACAATCGCTATGTGCAGTACAGAGGCCAAAGACAGTGATTCTGCCACCCCTCCCCAGCCCGAGGTTTCCATGAACACAACTGTCTTCTCTTCGGCAAGAGAGGGCTGCAAGGGCTATTGCAATGCTCAGCAAAGCATGAGCACCTAGGTATTTAACAAAAACCGGGATGTTTGTAAACAAATTTAATTTATTGGCATTACTTACAAAATAAAGTATTAGACCATGATTTTCCATCATGTCTGTGTCAGTATATGGTTTTATTTTTTTTATATCGAAACAGAACGAGAATGGAAATACATTAGAAATCCCAGATTGATCAAGCTGCAGACAGGGTCCCGTGTTGTCTTCCCAGCTGCTGTTGTGCCTAGGCGGCCATGCAAGCACGTCTGTGAGCGTGCTGGGATGTCAGCGACTGTCTGTCTGCGATGCCCACATGCCCCAAAGTAGGCCAGATCCTGCCCCACGCTCCCGAGGCCACGCCGTTACGCTGTCTGTGCCGCCTGCTGCACGTTTCCTCTTTCGTCCTGGAGATGGCTTGAAACCGCTACCACCACTGTCAAGACTGCACCGTCCCCTTAAGGTACCACATTCCGCCATAGCTCACGCAGCAGTCCTGGGGAGAACGGGAAAGGCCGTAAGGTCTTGGGAACTGTTGTCTGGCTTTGGGACAATAAACGTGATCAGTAACAGAAGCCTCCTCCGCAGTGCAGAAGGGAGAGCAGGAATCCAGAGCAGGGTGTTACTTCCACCCTGCAGCCCCTATTTCTTAAATGACGACGGCAAACACAAGAGGGAGGAGGCTGAGAGACCACAGGAAGGATGAACAATGTGATGGCAGCAAGAACCCGGGCTTCTGGGGGGAGAAGATGGGGATAGTGCAGAAGCCAGCTTAGGAAAGGCTGCAGGGAGGGGTGAGGACAAGGGGAACAGGCTGATGCTCAGGTGGAGAGACTGGAGGGAGCAGTGGGGACGGGCTGGAGCATGAAAACAGTCACCAGGTCTGAAGCCTTCTAAGAAACAACGTTCTATGACAATGACCTGTCAAACCTCAGAACCGTGCTTTGGTATTCTGACCGCATGTCTGCGAATCTTACTGCGGGTAAGCACCTTGGCAAAGGAGTTCAGTAAGTGGGTTTTCTTGTGGCTCATTTTCTTAATTCTATTAGATGAGCACCAAGTCTCTGGAGTTCCAAGCTAACAGCTTCTCTTTCTTTTGCTCCCACCCTGCCATTTACATAATTCAACACAGGCTTAAGTACTGCTACAAAACTGATCTGTGGAGCTTAAAGGGAAAAAAGTCTCTTTTTCCTTAAGTCTCAGGACTCGCACATCGTAAAAACAAGTAAGAAATTAAGTGTGGAGGCTAGAAAGAGGGTTTACAGACTTGATCTGCAGATGCAAAAATACAAACCGTGCCAGTCTGCTCCTCTGTGTATAAAAAAGGAGCACACGCAGATGGGGAAATAGGAGTCAACAAATCCAATTTCATTCAAAGAGGAATCCAATCTCTTGTGGCTTAAAGAAGCCAGAGACTCTTCCTATTTCATTAAATCATGCTTCTAAATTGTATTTCCAAAACAGATAATTTCATGTACTTCTGTGACAAATGTACTCAAGGCAAAGACGCTTGACATGACACAAGGCTGGCCGCACAATGACTTAGTGACTGACAAAAACAGCACCCAGTTTTTTAGGGGAAGGTATTTTTCTAGAAATAGGTTACCTGTTAAATAGCAACAGCATCATGAAAAGCTAATGCCAGTACATTGTCTAGATGTTCCAGGAGAGCTGATATTTGAGCTCATCTAGTCGCTTGACAAATCTCCCAGCACAGGCAAGCCACATGAAATACTGTCTAGCAGGCAGAAATGTCTGAGCTTATTTTAATGCTAGGAAGACCAGGTTCTTTCAAGCAAGACCAGTTTGCTTGTTATCACAGCAACAGATCTGTAATTTTTCAAATATGCTGTTATTCCATTTGCAGATCCCAGTGTAATAAAGTACTTAAGCACTTGTCTTACTGAAGTGGGTGACCATGAGCAAAGGCCCAGCAACAATGATTAAAGTATTAAACTAGCTGACAACTTTCTACTTAGCCATCCTGCATTGCTCTTAAAGGTTGTCAGTCATGGCCTGTGTGGTCCCTACTTTATACCTTCAATCCCTTTAGCAAGTAAATGGTGCGCCTTCAAAGACAGAGATGAAAGGATTCAAATAAACATTCACAATGAAATGTGTTAACTACTACTTTGCCTGCTTGTTTTGGCCAGGGTTTTGCTCCGTACACTGCTGCACGTCCTACTACGGAATGAAATGCGTTTCCTTCTGAATATGTAGCACTTGTGCTCTTCAGCATCAGCCAACAGCAGTCATCTGGTAAAGTCAGCACGCTGTGCAGAACCCTCCCACCTCCTGAACATTTAACTCCACGTTATTAAAAGTAACTCTGAAGTATCAAATTTACTACACTCTGGTCTCTGCTGGTCCAAGATGAGAAATAAAGATTTGTTGCAATAATACAAAATAACCCATGAGCCAAAATCACTGCTCCTTGGAGGGAAAGAAAGTAGAATGAAACAAGTCTATTTTTAAGAAAACAAGCTGAAAACCAGGCTTTGTCCACATTCCAACAACAACTATTCTAGCATCCTT